AAGTGTCCCCTTAATAGAGGTGTCTCCTGAATATGGGTGTCCCAAAAGAGGGGTTCTACTGTATAATGCTTGCCGCTTTATAGTTTGTTCTGAGAAAGAACTAATGGAAGTTCAATTAAGTGGTCCAATGTCTTTGAATTAATGTAATAAGCGTTCTATCCGGATGGCATCATATGATATGCAAAGATCATTACCTGTTATATTGCAGTCGGACAAACGGAAATTGAATTTTTCAAAGATGATTTTTCTAACATAAGTTTTACAATAGGTTATTTGATTGGTAGTTGAAAGAGGAAGAAACTATTTTAGCAAATCTCACACTGCCTTCACCATAGTATATTGATATAAAAATAATAAAAACAAACATAATCAGTAATAATAATAATAATATTAATAATAATAATAATGTTGATGATGATACTAATATTGATGATGATGACAATAATAATAATAATAATAATATTAATAATAATAATAATAATTATACTGTAATAATAATGATAATTGATAATTACATTGACAATGATGACGATATGTCAATCTTGATTATTAGGATGGTGATGGTGATGTTAGTGATGATTACGATGCCGACGATGACCTTGTTGAGGTTGATAATGAGGATATTGATGGTGACGATGTCGGTTATGATGATGACCGCGACGAAGGCGCTGACGATTACTATGACGAAGACGATGGTGATGATGATGATGATTATTTTAGTGTTGAACATCCCATGTTACTTAAGCCTCAAGGGACACATTATACCTTATCTGGGTTGAGTTTAGTTAATAATTTTAGATTAACCTTCAACATCACTCGGTTATCCTAAGGACAATTTTCATATTTGAGGACTTCATCTATCATTCTTAGAAAACTGTATGTATCTTCCAGAAGAAGAGCGAACTAATACATTAATAAATCATTTAAGATGAGTTAAGCCGGGCACTCACTGCGCCCGACGGTCGTCGGCCGACGTGATTCTATGGGGAACGCAACGCCGCGACGCGCGCGCGACGAATCGTTTTTAGCGGCGATCCGTTTAAGGCTGCCACTGGCGATTTGTTGTCGCGTCGGGTCTGTGTGAGTTGAACGCAGACGCGATGGTGTGCGTCGGGGGCAGTCGCGTAGTAGAATATTAAACGTGTTTAATATTTCTCACGACGGCTTAAGACTGTCCCCGACGATAAATCGGGTCGGGCTGCGTCGGCCGACGCTGTCTGAGTTGGCTTTAACACTCATAGGGAGCGTCTAACACTCATAGGGAACGGAGTTATGTTCGTCGGCTGACGGTCGTTGATTGATTGATTGATTGAATGATTGATCGTGTGATTGATTGATTGATTACCGTATAATATTTAATATTTACAATATGCGTCTGTTAATTAGCCAACAATATTCTCTTCTAATTTTCAGTTTTGAATGCAAATAACGCATATAATTTTATTTTATTTTTTTAGTATTTACTTAGGTGATGTAGTTCATTGTTGGGACAAGAACGTTTACCTATACTTAGCTTGCCGAACACGGAGTCAGAACGTGTTCTACATCTATTACCGATAAGGCCTATATTGAGTTGTTCCCATGCATAAGCAACAGACAAATTACTGGTACATATTTATAATGTGTTAATATTTGAGTAAACCCTGTCCAGACTATCAAATGATAACATCACATCATGACCATATATAGGCGCATCATGACTATATATGGGCATGCAACAGATTTTTGTCAACGAAAATTTGATAATCTGGGACAAAACCTTTGGGACAAATACGGTACCTCATGTACTAGCATCATACCTTCAAAATTTATGAATAAACATATTTAAGTTTGTAATAGATTTAAATCAGAAATAACAAATTTCTTCACAACATCATCAGCGTCGTGTGTCTGAATTCATTATAAAAAAAAAATCCGTATTCTTATCGCAAACATGAAATACTTTGTTATCCTCCTGCCTTTGGGGAATGTTAATTTTACATTTGAGTAAGCCAATTTGACATGTCTAAAGCGATATGCGTGATGGAGATTTCTGTTGACCGGCCTATGTACCGCAAGTAAGTCTTTTGAGCTAGGCGCAAATTAAGCAACGGCAAATATCCATATCCTCAAGCAGAACATTTGAGTGTTTCTCTGCGATTCGCGATCATTTTTAATTATCACTATTTGCTTGTCAATCACAAACAAGATTAACTTTTTAATTGATTGACTGATGGTGAAGTATAGGTAACAATATAGTGGGGAAGAAACCAGGATGGATGTCACAATAATGTGCACGGCTCTGACAACTTGGAAGTTGACCGTTTACTATGAGAGTCCTATCGCATGTACTATTCTTTATATATAGGCATATGTAACATATTCGTATTTATGAATTCTTTGATGCTGTCTCTTATACACATCTAGATGTGTCTTGTTTGTAATATATATACAATAAAAAGGCACTCTAGATCACCTTCCGGAAATTTTTCTATGCCTACAATAATTATATAAAGAGGAGTCTACGAGTGTTCAAAAAAGGGGCAGTGAATTTAGCCATGAACTTGCTGTGCGTGCAGATGCCTTGACCAACTGGAACACTGTGGCTTTGGATTTCGAATCCGATTTAAGGCAACTGTTCTTTTTCAGATCTGCATATATCTATACGCTACGCCTTAGTTCATATAGTTATATTTGTGAGACAAGATATCAGTCACTGGATGGAAAATAGGTCTAAGCCTAATAATCACACAGCACAGAATATTAGCGCTATGAACTATAACCTAGCCATGCAATCTTGACAGACGACATATAAAAAAATAAGGACATTATGTACGTGTTCATTGATATTAATGGCGCAAATAATCGTACGTCGCCGTCAGTGTCGCCCCCCAGATGCTACCATTGTTTCTTTTAGAACGTTCGTCTTTTTTCATAAAGGTAGAATTATTTATGTGTGATTCATAACCATCCGTCTTCTCTATCTAGAATAATACAGTTTATCAAACGTCATGTACCAGGTTTTCCATAATAGATTTTCGGATCATTGTTAGTCCTTATTTCCTGAGGTAAATGAATTCTAATTTGCTAACGGACTCTACATGATGCCGGTTCAATAGAACGTTGCTTTAGGGACACGAAGGCGATGAAAATAAACATCAAACATCAACACTTAACACCTGACCATATTCCTATGATTATATTCAATGTTTATTTGGTTCTTTATTGTTAGCTTCAAGTGTTATGAAAAGGCATTTTGCGTTGCTAATGTGCGTGGATGGCTACCATTCAACGCAAAATTTGGGTTCGGGTTAATTAACTGCTTCTACATTTCACATAGTAGTCACGTGATTCAGCCATTCTATAAATAGATCAGTATGTCGATATAATTAGGTCATATCGATATTGGTATATTTATTGCTGATTGTCAAGTTCTCGTTGAGTAATAGGCCTATTTTGAACCAAGTTTTTATAAATCATGATGCATGTTATTCATAATCAAGAATATAAGGTTTGTGACAACATTTATGTTACTATCATAGAGCCACAGATATTTCTGCTAAGCCCCGCGCCTTGGATTTTCGATGTTGCTGCTAAGGTCCACAATATCGCACGGCAGCGTGAAAGTACGTAAACATGTTTGTTTGTGGAAGTTACGCGTATTCCTACTCGTGTTCTATTGGTCAGATGCTGAGTTTTATTCAAACTCCTGGAATGTGTATTGTTGATAGCGTTGATCGTTTATTGGTTTGGGCCTGAATATAAAGGTTATAAAGGTTAATTGATGATATGTTTCTTTAATTATTAACTGAATGTAATATCGTACTGTAGAGACAAAGATAAATACACCAATTAACAGATTGAGTGGTTAACACCTGAAGTAAATTATACAGACAAGTTAGCACACATGGGTATGTGAACATTCGCATTGCTTAGGCCTAACTTGTGCGACAGTTTACTGAGGTTATACACAGTCATGAACGATGATGAATAGCGGCATTCGCCCTCAGACTGCGTTAAGCTAAATTCGGATAGACGAAGTTATCTCTATTCTAAAAGGGAAAATGAGTCTAAGATTATAAAACCTAAAATGTAAAGCATGATCTACGAGAGATTGCTTATTCGAGTGAATCACATTCTTAAGCGGGACGAATGCCTTCTTAATTAGACAGTCATAATATCCCATAATACCCTTTCACTTCTTTGAATGAGACACTCTAGAATGTGTCGCTCATCCATCATTTCAAGCCCGTTGCTGAATTGCTCATGAGAAGATTTATTTGCTGTATTTTGTTTTAGACATTTTACATCTCTGTAAGCGATTTCCCACTTAAGTATCGATGGCTTGATTAAGCGTTTCTCAATAAACACTGAGCGACCCCATGCACCTTAAACTGTTTCTGATAGCTTTCTTCTATAGCGAGATTGGGTATTTTCATGCAGTTTCTAAATTCAAGTTTCGTTATAGAATAATTACATTATATCCCGCTAAGCCTCACCACTTAAATATTGTTGCTAAGGTCCCACGCAAAACAAAACTATAAAACTACGAAAACACGTGCGTTTGTGCGACAACATGTGTGTTTGTTGGACACGCGCGTATTGCTGGCCTCTGTCGGATTGATCAATGGACCTTTCCGCTAAGCTCCGCCCCTTGGATATTGTTGCTAAGGTCCCACAAGAAGGCAGTGTTAAAACATACGCGAACACGTGCGTGTGTGGGACAACACGTGTGTTTGTAAGACGCGCGTGCATTTCTAGCGCTGTTCTGATTAGTCAGTTGTTAAGTTTGATTGACACTCCGGAAATGTCTATTGTTACGTTTGATTGACACAAGTCTATTATTAACCTATGAACATATTACAATTACAGAATAGCTATTGTACTTAAGATTTTACCGTTCAAATACCGTATGTTATCATATTTTTTACCACATTTACATAGCAATATAACTTGTATGTTGTCAATTTCTTTTTATTAATTTCAAATTAAACATTTAATTCATTTTCTTTTTTCTTCAGATTCACTAATCGAAAATGGCTACCATATTCGTATTTATGAATTCTTTGATGTTAGCAGTCGCACTTGCCTCGTCATCATTGAAGAGCTATGCCTATGAGGAAGGCAACAACGCACCGAGTTACTATCCCGGTTCATCGAATGACACATCTTATTTTGACTTCTCATCATTCCTCGATTTTTCGGTTTATGATGAATTGGTAAACAGTGACGAAAAGCCGGTAATTAACCTAGCAGGATTCTACCCTCTTAAAGGCACAGAAAGTTACCCTATGAAATTCCTAGGACACCAGAGTCACTTTTCATCGTTGCTGGCACTGCAACACGTGAACGATCATCCAACAGTTTTAAAGAACTATCACCTAAATTTGATTAGTTGCGACACAGAAGTAAGTGGGGTTACTTCACGACTCATTGATATTCTTATGTTATTCGTAGTATTATACCAATCTGTTGATGAATTACCCGTTCCGCTCCCTCGTTTTTGGTACTGTTTCTAATGTTGCACACAAACCTGGGTGTTTGTATGGGACATGTGAGCATTGCCTTTTTCTGATTCGTCGTTTGATTGACACTTTGGAAAAAGTCAATATCTTAAATAATAAAATGATATGGGAAACATTAGCCACATTATTTATGATAAACCAAAAATAAAGGAAGAAGATTTCACAGAAGATACTAAAGGAAAATATTGAACAGCATTCTTTCCAAATCTCATTACGGCTCTGATTCGTGCCTATAAACAGCGCCACCACTAGTTACCGTATAATAGTTCCAGCAGCTTTCGAAAATTAGACCTCGAAATTTTGCAATTACTTAGGAGTAAGCTAGTTAACAAGACTGGTAGAATAATAAAGAAGATTGCTGTGGAAGATCATTGGGAATGTTTTTGACAAATTATTTGCATTAATGAACGATAAGAACCATCTACTCCACAATCAATGATTTCAGATCTGACAACCGGATGGGCCGCGCACACCGATCAGTAGTATATAACCCATTCATCCCCAGAAGGTTTAATCCATTAGATTGTATAAAGAACTCCCAATTAAGATTTCAGTATATTAAGCTAACTTTTATGTACTGTTATTGATGAGTCCAGTATCCTAATTCTTCAGCAGTTTGAATTTCCTAGAGGCAAATTAAGTAAATGAACTGTAATATTTTATACACCGTATATATAGGCAACACTATATCAGCAATTTACAATGTAATTAGTGTTACGACAGCCTAGGGACATATATGTATATAGACCTAAATTGTGTAATTTGGTCTATGTTGCAACACTGTTCGCCAGCCATTTACCCTCATTTTGTTAGATGCGGTTTCGTACTGTACTCCAAATCAGATAATACGGAGATTAAGAAATCAAGATATCATTAGAATCATATCTTATTATTGGCAAGTCTTGACTTATATGTATGTCTGAATTATTTACCTACAAATGTCGGTCTGTATTATGACAGTCTATCGGCTGTTTGAATTGAAGTTTGATACGTATGTTTAATAATAATTACTTCAAACAAAAATTCTGGCTATCATAGGCAGTCAAGCATTAAGCATGATGTCACTCGGAGAATACTTCAGCTTCAGTTATATAGATTCTTTTTCAATTAATTCTTTCTTACTATTGTGGAAAAAGCTAATAACCAAGAGGCATCTATTTGTGATCCACTGTCAAATCTCTCATACATTTCTGTCAAAATTCTCTGTTAATTCTGATCGGTTGACGTCTACTACTTTAACGTTGGCGCCCGATGTTTTTTATAACTATGAAACCAATCATTGTGGTATGATGAAATGATTTTATTAGTGCGTTACCTCAATGGGTAAAGTGCCTGTCTCCTAATCTCAAAACCCTGGGTTCAAATCCTGCCAATATCATAAACTAAATTTTTCTCACGACTAAAAAAACACCTCCATTCTAAGCCTTGTAATCAGAATTAATTTATGGAGTATTACATTAGCTAATTTATTTAGAAGTCTCTCTGAATATCAATTGACCTTGCAGGCTTAGAATGAAGTGTCACCTTCTAGTGATATGGTTCAACTAACAATAAAAGATGTTTTTAATGGCTAATGCCAGATTTGTAAAGCATCTTCAAGAGAGCGGCTTAGCTGAGTCGGCTAAACACTGGTGATAGCCACAATGTGTGCACTGAATCATGAAGATCACTAGGTCCCTGGTTCTATTCCCATCGCTACTTTTCTTGTGTTTTAGCTGGATTGCTGAAATGCAAGTTACAATGGCGCACCGTCTTTCGGATAAGACATTTAAGCCGTTGGTCCCGTGTGCATTATGGCCCATGTGCACGTTAAAGAACGCAGTACCGGTACACTCTTGGGAAAAAAGTGGGTTTTCCTTGGTGTAATTCACATAAAAAATACTCCTGTTCTATCCTTCCAATCCAGTGTGGGCGTATAATGGGTTAAAGGGCCAAAGTGAGTTTAGGATTTAACACTGATGGTTTATGCTTACGGTTAAATGTTTATGGTTGAAAATTTGACATTTCTATTGTGCTTTACTGCTCTATGCTCAGTTTTAATAACTTTTATTACGGATACGGACTATAAACCGTATGCCCAATATACACACTGTGGCTTATGTGCACCTTCAGGAACCCAGTACACATTTCTAGACGAGTAGGAGGTTACTGGTCCGTACAGATGGAAAGATGAGATTAGTTGGTAGCGGTTTACCGGGGTAGCTCAGAAACAACGTTACCCTTGAAGAATATTCAGCATCTCGTGCCATTTCAGTATAGAGCGCTAAAGAAATCCAACTATTTTACATCTAATATGTTTTTAATCAAGAGTGTGTTTCTCTGGATTGGGTTTGTATCCAAGCGTAAAGAATTGGGGAATCTGAGATGGTAAAATTTGGAGAAAACCTCAATAACTTATTTGGGAATTTATCGCTCATTTCAATATATCAGATAATTTATCAACATCAAATGAACAAATTCAGCTGATTAGCAGAAGTGTTACTGCAAAATCCTTAGATTACTACCCAATTTAAGAAGATATGTAAAAGGATATATGTCCGGTAATTGACGAGGAAATTGTTTCCATTTAATATGCAAATTTAAATATCTAATTTAAAGAGTGTTTATTGCAACGACTAAGACATTTTGAAAGCTTTTTGGTGTTTCTATCTGGCTGATTTATTCTTGAAGCTCTGTCGCTATCAAATTCTGTGTTACTTGTTTGATTGCCCATATTATGTGCATGACGATGTCATATTACACCCAAATATGGGCATATTTTAGTTGCTTTTCACATAAAATTTGATAGTATGAACCCAGATTTAGACTTGGCTTATGAGTGTTGCATTTCAAGTCCATCCATTGTTTTGCTGAAATTCTATGACACTGGCGTCCTACTAAATGCCCTTATCAACACAAATCCACTTGATTTTGGAGCCAGACAAGTAATTCCCACTTTCTCTGGCCATTGAATTTCTGTTTTCATTTCTAGATTTGCTATCAATACTATCTATCTTTGGTTCTCATGCAATTGGAAATTAATATCTCCATATATTTACCTGGTTGAAAACACCTGGAGGGAAATACTGTTCACAAAGATTGAGATTAGTATAGGCCCTATACGTTATCTTTAAATGTGTTACGCCTACATCACGATGATTTCCACAGACCCGTTCGCATTTGTCTAATTGTAATTCTTCTTTGAATACTATAGAAAATACTGTCTTGACCTATTTATCTGGGTTTATCTTGCTTTACTTTTGTTTCATGCTTGATAGAACCTATCTAGGAATTAATTAAAGATGTGGCTCATCAAATCTATAGTGCGATATTCACTTTACTGTGTTGTATTTTTGGTTTTAGTGATCTTAACGTGTTCCGTCTTGCGACATTACTCTTTCCACATTTCCATTTGTACTGCTCAAGGCAGGATGGATTGTCATAGTGTTTGTGTTTACATGTCCTTTCAGATCTTTTTAAATTATTATTTGGTCTTCCTACTGGTCGTTTTACTTTCCGTTTTAGCTCTTCCTTTTTTTTTTTGACTGGCGTTTCGTCCAGTAATCTAATTATGTGTCCGTACCATTTTAATCTTAGAAGTCTTTAGATAAAACATACATAGCCAGAAAATGTTCAAGAAAGAAAAGTTTTTAATGTTTCATATTTTTAATTTTGCATTTTTTAATCTAATCATCTTTTTGATAACTCAGTGACTCTATTTAGACATATACTTGCAAAATTATGAAAACTTTACTTTTAAAAATTTTACGTAAGGCCCAGATATATGCGTTGCTGGGATAACCTATATAAAGTACACTGCAGCTACTCAATAACAAAATAACTTTCTAGTGTTTGTAATTGTTTTCTTTTTATAACAGTTTTGTTTCAGAAACTAGCAAAGTTAATATAAGCTACCTTCTGAAATTTGCTTCAGGTCTTTACTTACAAGATATAACTATGTAATTGATGACTCAGATAATTTGCTCTATTAGTTACGGTACGTTATCCAAAAAACCAATACATTGTACAAACTCAATTAAAATAATTATTAGAGTAATGCCATGTGGTCCAGTGTGAAAGAGCAATACATTTTGTCTAAATGACCACTTGAAATATGAACTGCTATATTGACCGGTTTCTGTTATGAGAAAGCCCAACAGAATACAGACGATTTTCTTCAGTTTTCTTCTTAAAGGTGATGATGGTAATAATGATGATGATGATGGTGGTGGTGGTGGTGGTGATGGTGGTGGTGGTGGTGGCTGTTGTGATGATGGTGATGGTAGTGGTGATGGAATGATGATGATTGATGGTGATGATGATAATATTAATGATGGTAATTGGTAATGATGGTGGTGGTAATAGTGATGGGATAATGATGATGACGTTGATGATGATGATGATGATAAGGATGATGATGATGGTGATGATGATGGTAATAGTGGTGATGATGATGCTGATGATAGGGATAATGATGATATATTAATAATGGTCATTAGTAATGATGATGTTGTTTTGGAGTGGAGTTGAATAGCTTAGTGGTTAAGATGCTTGCTTTCCAATCCCAGGGTACCTGGGTTCAATTTCTGTCACGGTAACAGGATTTTTTTCACACGACCAAACAACCCCACTCCTTAAGCCTATATGAGACTTGTATGTAAAACATCATGTGTTTATGTGTGTTATGTGAAAGGATTGCCACCGATCTAATAAAACAGTGATGAAGTCGCTAATAGTAAAACTTGGGCATGTGCCTAAAGAAATTTTTTTAAATGATGGTAGTGTGGTGATGGTGGTGATAGTGTTTGGAAATTGTGATGATAATAATATTAATTAGTGTCATTGTGGTGATGATTATGAGGATGATGACGTAGTAAGAAAGCCACTTTATAAAGTCATTGTCAAATGGTGTAATAATTAGAAATTACAAATTTGATATGAATCGTGAACTGAAACTTTGTAGTGCAAACACTACAGAGCCGTTGTAGCTAATCACAATCAAACTAGCAAATGAAAAGGCACAATGCGTGACGTACTTATACTCATATATAACCCTGTATCACCTTTCTTATTTAATTACGTAGAGACCCACGCGTGATTACTCGTATTGACTTTGTTGAAAAGTCCTATGTTTGATATTTACAAATGTACTAGCGAGAATATGTCGGTATTATTCGCTATTTTACGGCTATTTTTATAATTATTATTATTATTATTATTATTATTATTATTATTATTATTATTATTATTGTAATAATAATAATAATAATAATAATATCATCACCATTATTATTATTATTATTATTATTATGTTATATATTATTATACCATTGTTATTATAATTCCTCTTATTGTGTTATTTTTTTTAAACTATACTTTATATATTTTTTCCAGTAAGTATTTGCTCTTCTCTGGTTTTTGCATAGTAACATGGCGGTAATTATTATAGCTCTGTGTTGTATGATATATCGAACGTACATTGCTATTGAAATTATAAATAGTATTCTTTGTCAGGTGTATCGTGTCCATAGAGTTATTATAAGAATAGTCTACTTATTAAGCGCTAACTGGGTGAGACGCCGAAGAGCCTTTGTTTGCCTCCAAGACCGTACTATACGTAACAGGCCACCGTGTCGTGATTGGCTAGAGAAGCGTTACAACATACTAGGACTTTTGACTGCAGTACAGTATCTCTTTTAGATGAACGCCTCGTTCCAAATGTAAGAGGGCGTATAACAATACATTGATTTCTGTATGAGAACTACTGTAATTTAAATTATTTAGGCCCACCTCCTCCAACTTGAAGTCTTCGCTCCAAAGTGGAAGGCCGATGGTAAGCGAGTCTCGGTTTGGGTGAATTTTCTTGCATTAAAGAGTCTGCATAGCCTATAAGTCTCTGCATATAAATCGGATTCCCTGACAGGACAGCTGACAGAGGGCGCTATTCAAGCCTAAATAGCGTCGCTTATAACAATCTAGCTCCCAGCGTCTGATATTAGTGGAAGGAAACGTAGCAGCACGTATATATTTGTTACTTGGTATAAAAATTAAGAATTCTGCAATAATATAAATCTCATTAACATATCTTCCCGTCATCGCTTTTTTATTTCAATTAATAATTTTGTCTTTTCTCCCTTTTTTCATAGTATTATCGTTGCTCTACATTTTACAATGCCTCCGTTCGTGTTTTGGCGTTAGAAAGTCCAAGATATTCATTTTTCAGACTTTTTTTCAATAGGGTCTTTAAAAAACACAACTGCGTAAATTCGTTATAGCCTGTAGCCTCTCCCTACTAACTAACATATTGCTGCTCTCCTTATTTTCTGCTACAATACATCTATTATTTCATAGTTAATCCAGGCTATTTTCTATCTTATTTTATTTCGGAAATAAATATTTTGAAAATGACTTGCTCTTTAAAAGCAGTTGTTTCAATATTAAGTCTCTCGACATTTACAGTGTCAAATCGCTTTCCATAAATTTTCTTCTAATATTATTTACCATTAATTTCGTACTTTAATAAGTCCAAGCGTATTCTATCGTTTAACAGTAATCGTAATACCAAAATATATTCAGACGATACTATTAACGTCATTATTAAATATCTTGGAGACATCTTGAAGTCAGTGCAAGCCATTCGAAAACGCCGTACATTATTTGATACGAAATTTCATTTCTCGACTGGTTATTGTCTTTAGGAGATCCGATTTATATCAATTATTGCCACCGCCAGTCGATTATTTAAATCTGCAAATTAATATTAGGCCAATACGAACTCAAGTCATAGCGCGCATTTCTGAAAAAATTGCTACAATAATAGTACAGTAGACCTAATAAAAACATTTTTATTTTTTTTTTTTTTTTTTTTGGGGAGCAAGATTACACATAAATTTAGAGTTTATCGTTTTAGACATTTCATTATTTCTCGCCACAAAACAAACATAATGGTTGGTTAATGTACAAATCATTTTATCTTCTTTATCGAGTCCACACGAGTTTTTGTGTCTTTGTCGGTTTAGCTCTACAAACGATAGGATTCCTAGAGGGCCGCGACGTGAACGCTCCCATTTTAATATAAAAAAAACCCTATTAAATTTAATATACCACACGATGGCGGTGATTTATATGCTGTGTAAAATGCCCCTCACTTTGTGATTTCCGTCCTCCTCTAATATACCTAAATACATGCTGGGATTGGTACAGTACTGAGAACAAAGAGAGTTGATGAGCCTAAAAGAGAGATACTACAGCATGATGCTACAAGTAGAGCAGGGACCCTGTTCGACTACTCAACTCACTCGAACCTGAAGCACCCGGTGTTCTAAAGATAATAACCGGGCTCTATACTAATAACCGCGTCGTCAATTTCACTTACTATATGACAGTACTTGAATATTGGCCGACGCGATTATGGAGAGAACGCTACGCCACGACGCGCGCAACGGGTGCCGTTCCGAATGCCGAAGACATTGTCATCAGGCCGTGTCATCGTCTCTATAGCACTCACAGGAAGTGTGGTTGGATTCGTCGGCTGACTTTCGTACGATCTTCGACCTACGCAGTGAGTGCCCTGTGTTCACACGAGTCTAGTGTGCTTGGAAAGATTTTTTTTCTTATAAAATTTTTGTCTGAGTGTTTGTATGTTGCTTCTTCATTGAAAACAAATTGTACAAGATTTTCGAAAGAACCTCGAGCTATCGATACAGCTGATACCCACTCAGTCACAAAGCTAATGTCAGTCAATTCTAATCACGGTATATGATCAGTCATGCCTCTAACAAGAATCGTTTACCTCTCAATACTCCAATCGAAATGTCACAGACAATTTAAAGTAAATCAGATAATTATTTTGTTAATTATATAAAAATTTCTATTGTTTACTGACGTCTATGTGATCATTAAACTTCATTAATTGGTCATATGATGAAAAAAGTATGAAACTGGTTGTTTTGATACGACAAATATTTGTAATCATAATCCGAATATGTTGAACTTTTCTTGAACGTGATGAAATTACTAAAGTAGGATATAATCAATAACGGCAAGTTAAATAAAGAATTATATAAATATATATACACACGGGATCGATGAAAGGACAGAGTTGATGAATTGAAATCTTGAACAGGCATCTGTACGTGGAAGGGATCTAACGTAGGCATTGGTAAAACATATCATGGAACCAGAGATCAAAATTTAATATCACCTGTGTCGACAACATAAGTAAATAAGCACCCTGTATTTGGCGAGCAACTCGTTGCAGGATCAACAGGAATTAAGATGTCTCTAACATGCAGATCTTTAAACGCCTATACGGCTTAGTGATCTTGTCTAAATTTCAACCTTCTCGCGTAATTAGAAGATATACGTAAAATGAAACATTAATTTATAGCATTTAAAGTAAAGTGACATAGCCCGTTCTTGTGTTTCATATACACACGCACTCGCTTACCAATATATTTTAGGTGACTTTTATAATCCTACTGTCATGTAAACGTAACATTATTACTGCCAATAAAATGTCTAGGGGTACATATATGACATAGCAAAACCATAGAGAAAATAGAAAACCAACTGATTGTCGTCTTATGTTATCCAGTTCAGGGGCAGATCCAGAAAGGGGGGGGGGGGGGGGGGTGGGCTGATCGATACAACACTATTATTGGGGGGGTCCGAGATTTTTGTTCTAGACGCTCGAAAATAACATTTGAGGTGTTCTGGGCTATCATTTTATTCTTTTTTTCTTTTTTTTTTTTAACCTCCCGAAAGGTGGGGGGCGGGGCCTGACCGTCCTCCCCCCTCCCCCTTAAAATCCGCCCCTGCAATTTTTCGTTATAAACTACTGTACAACAAGTCCAAAAAACATTAAGATGTTTTCTTTATGTTAATTTTGGTTTTGTTTTTCTTCCCAGAATAGAGTTGGAGTAGCGTTGATGCAATTGTTCGAAACATATTCTTCAGGTCCTCAAATATCTGCGGTAATAGGCGGACTTAGAGCAGAGATCACTGAAGCTATGTCAAAGGTCACAGCCATCATGAATCTAGTTCAGGTAAGATGATTGCTATTGTAAAGCTCTGTCCAGACTACTATCATATTTTATTTGACAGAAAGATGTTGTATGCCCAAAAATAGTCACGATGTGCCTATATATGGTCATGATGTGATGTCATCATGACCATATTTAGGCATGTCACATGTTTTTTTTTTGTTTCTTTTTTCAAATAAAGATTAATAGTCTGAACAAAGCTTTAGAGACACTGATAGAAAATGATGAAAGGAAAGAGAGTGATCCGTTGTTCAAAGAATGTGATTACCAATCCTGTTTTGATAAATTGAATGTGATTGCAGCTCCATTAAAACAGTAAAATAGCATTCATCTTTTTTGGTGTAATTGTCAGCAAAATTTACCTTCATTTTTATTTCGTTTGGAGGTTTTGTCACCTCACTGTCATATTCTCTGTCTAAATAAATAGGAAAATGGACGTATACCGTATGAATTGTCTTAATCGTGTCTCAATCAATCATCATGTCTTAATCAATCATGTTGTTTTGACGTGATGCCGTGCGCGCGTCCAGTACATTCAGACGATAGACATTCGTATTTAGATATATAAGTTAGACTATATATATATTGAAGAACCACTATCACCACGTTAAAATTAGATGCGTAAAAAAACAAACGTAATTTACGTTGCCTGATGTATTGCGACGCAGCTTAACCATTTCGCGCGTGTGCATGGCACAGTTATAGTGGAACAACCACCCTTTGCGTTTGCCTATAAATCTTTCTAGCGTAAACCAAGCCCTAGGCAAATCTGTTGACGACATAGATGTGTTAGTCATATATATTTTACGTCAGTTTGCAAGATATTCTATTAACATGTTTTGCTAGTTAGACATTTATTTCTAACATATTCAGGATGGATTGTTATTGTTATTGCAGACAGTGATCAATATAATTCAACCGCTAAGTAAAATGATGTTGGTTATTATGTATAACATTGAATTTTTACTGAATGAAGCAAGCCACACTTCAATTATTTGCACTCATGACATACTGACTTTCTATTCTTTATAACTAATTAGCCCTAAGCCTATTTGTAATAAACTGAATGAATGAGCTTGAGACGTGGTAAGAAAAGCGGTTATGTTTTACCCATCTTATTCAGTTACATATCACAATATTAGCCTAATCTATGATTTATCTGATTTTGCAACGAAAATGAAAACGAACGTAATCATAATTTACTTTGAGTTGAATTATATTATTAAACCATTAGTGTTGTTTTTAAATTTGGCTCAAGTTTATATAAATTGTACAGAAATCGTTCGTGGCTATATTAGTTACTGTATCCATATACGTATCTACGTCATCGTTGTTTAGCTCCAATAGACCTTTCCGGAGTGTCAATCAAACTTAACAACCGACTAATCGGAACAGCGCTAGAAATACGCACGCGTCTCACAAACACACGTGTTGTCCCACAAACGCACGTGTTCGCGTATGTTTTAACACTGCCGTCTTGTGGGACCTTAGCAACAAAATCCAAGGGGCGGAGCTTAGCGGAAAGGTCTATTGATGCTGTAGGCGCTTTAAAAGTCATCTTTGGAGGCGGATAATGATTAAATCGTTGGTGACTACCGTATCATTATCACGTATAATGGAAATTCTCCCTTTTAGTTAATGTACATTTTGAGAAAAAACAGGCTAAATAACCGGTCTTAAAATATATGAACTTGACCAATCACATGCCGATATTGTTGCCTTATAACAAGCACGTAGTTTTTTACGTCACAAAAACAGTCCACAATTTGCTCGAAGATAAAACATCATTGTTATTAGCTTGTGTAATTAAACAAATTACATTTAATTGAGTTATGGTCTTTGTTGGACAAAGTTTGAATACGACCCGAGTACGAAAAATTGATTAAAGAATAGGATAGAAATGGGTTATGAAAAAAAGGAAAAAAATAGATTGCTAAGTTTACTGAACATGGGGATTTTCCTCATTGACATAATGTAAAGACAAAATAATAGTAATAAAAAAATATGAGGTAATGAAAATCCCTTCGACGCTACTGACACTCGAATCAGCAAATGCAACAATGTAGGTGAGTGTGTGGATTTCTAATGGGTAGTGTACCTATTGAATCCCTGCGAAACTGAGTTGATTTTCAGTCAATCAAACTTACGTAAATTTGATAGGCTGAGGGAAAATATTGTTTATGCATTTCATATCAGGGTAAGTTTGAGTTGAACTCAACTGTAACTAGTTTGAAATAATTATAATCATAGTCCATAATTTATATATTAAACTGTTTCAACAGTAATGGAATTAATCAGGTTATATGATAAAACGGGATATCCAAAGAGATACCTATTAAAGCTCCCCTTCCCCGGAAGCAAATATCCAATAATTTTTTCTCGACTACAACACTTTATCGAGTCTATAATTAGCCGCGGGTGGCTTACGACTCTCTACATCAGTATTAGTTTGTCTAATAATGCAACTACAGCGATTGTTTTGCAATTAAGACAACATTGTCTTGGGGCTTTCAGTATGCGATAAGTATCGTGTTTATGCCTGAATTCAGCTTGCTGTTGATTCGAGACGCTGATCTTAGAAATCGCTAGGGATCCTTTTTACCGTTTAACGTCTACGTGATCGTAAATTCATATTCGCTTGTATCCAGTAAAGGCATTAGACTTTCAAAGAACAGCAAATGAACAGTTTCCGAATGATTGTGTCCCAGAACAGGTAGCATGTAGGCCTAATAATAATAACACGCTTTTTAGATGAGCCTGTAGACAATCGGTAACTTTAAATATATATTTATCTGTGATTAAAGAGTCAATATTCAAACACATGAGATTTGGCTCTTCTCGGTATTTCCTTCTTTGCTAGAACCTACAGCATACTAGATTCTTAATTACAGCTCTTTGAAAAACATTTACCAATAAGCAATGCTCCAAAATTAGCCGTAACACAATTTGGTTTAATGGCGCTTTCAAATGGATCTCCATTTGTACTCAGTAATATGCATAATGTTTGCTTTCGATAGTTAGGCCCATATGACTAAACTCTTTGATCTTTGGAACAAACCGATAGAGAGGCCCTGACCTATTTTCAAATTGGCCCTCAACCTTTTGGGGAACCTGAGGGTATGATGATCTTTTTGTTTCCTGTATTTATTAGGTTCACCTTACGCCTAATAATATAAATTGATGCAAATATTAATTATTAATGCAGAGAAAATGTCATCAACTTGGTGCAATTGTGTTATTATGCAAGCAAACTTTTATGACGTCATATCCGGTAAGGATACGGATTATCTAATCTAAAGTAGCAAGGCTTTAGTAGGATGAAAACAAAATAGTGCATAATCATAAATTCATCTTTTATTAAAAATGTATGAAATATGAAAATAAAATTGGGAAGATTATACTATACGTTGGATATAAAAATTACCGGTAATTCTAATCAGCATTGTTGTATACCTGTTATGGACGCCCTTCCAACCTCAAGCCTAACAATACAAAATTCTACTATAAAACGATATCCATTTTTGAATAAATTGTATGAAAGCAATCAAATACTCTTGATAATATGTTATAGTATTAACATACTGGGGGGTAATTTAAATGTTTTAAACATTTTTAATATTATCTCATTAAATTATTCTGTACATTTCAATTTTTTTTTTAATTTGCAATAAAGTTATTTTGAATCTTGAATCATGAAACGTGTAGAGGACAGAGACCGCTATTATTATAAATTGCCCGTCTCGTGAACGCAAAAAGGGTGTGGCTAAAATACATTCTAACAAGCGACTGTGTCACTAATCAAAGATGAGTATCTCAGTATATTTACATTTTTAGAAGCATTCAAAGTGGGACCAGAAATAAATGATGACGCAAACACGTGGGAGATGTCGTGCGATTTTTTTTATCCAAGGATTAAGTACTCTCAGTAGTCGATACATGTGATATATAGTTAGTGAATTGTGTTAATGCCTACCCTATATGTATATCTTTTATCTTAACTAAAATCCTACCCTAAGTACCTGAAACCATTAGCTGCGATGATTATCGTGTAAGACGCTGTTCCGACTAAGTCGTAGGAAGTACCAGGGGTATTGGTGTAAGCCCCTTATGAATATTTTAACATTGTAATATTTTGGTATTTACTTCAGCCAGTAGCGCACTTTCTTTGCTGATTTGATTTTATGCGTACGAAATCTAGACTAAAGAAAGCTTACTAAAGTACAGGCGGCATAAAGAATCGTATACAACCTTGCTGCATGTAAGTGACAAAATTGGACAATATTAATACTTTGTGGACAGCGGTGATAAAAACATACGATTTCTTTGGTATATTTAAATATTGTATGCATACCGTATACAATTTGATAAAAATAAAGATGGTAATGATGGTGGTGATGATAATGTTGTTGATAATAATGATAAAAAAATAACAATAATAATAATAAAATATTAATATTAATAATAATAAGTGAGGATGATACTAATGGTAATGATTATTAAGATGACGAGGGCAATGATAATGGAAATATGATAAGCCTAAATATAATTTCAAGAACGATATTGGAAAAGACGGCCAACTTTGAATTTATGTTTCATACAGTTAGTGAAATTCGATTTTATTTTACCATTATACTTTCTTTATTAATTTCTTCAACACGTATCGTCTACGAATCTACTTATAAAGTCATTTAACGAACATAATAAAACACGGTGTTTTATACTCGTTGACGTACTTTCCGAAGGCGGGCCGCACTTAAGTACTATAGTACGGTCATTAAATAATTTGCGAGAGGAAATTACGTGTATTGTTAGTGCAAAAAAAGTATAACGCTATAAACATCCACGCATTAGAGCACAAAAAATAAGTGACATTGAAGATTATTTTTGTATTATAGATTAAAGATTAGTAAATGGGAATGATTATTGACAAATCTATTTTTATTTTGAAAATTGATTTCATTAAAAATTTCACCGGTAAGTGACATTCTTCATGTAAACACAAACAAATAAACGTAATAGAAATAATTGTTATACATAATATGATCGTCATTACCAGTTTATCTTAAGTAGGTCTTCATACAGCATGTCCTTAAATAATATAATTAATATGGCCAATCAGTAGAATGTATTAAAGATATCAAGCAGACGGCGACGAGCGGACAACCCACGTGAATAATTTAAAGGTTGCCGCGCCGGTACTTTTCTATATATTTTTCAGTGTCTTCTAAAAACTTCATTTTTAAATTGGCCTTTTCGCTAAGCCCCGCCCCTTGCATTTTGTTGCCCTGTCCAGACTATCAAATGTGAAAGGTTATTAATAAGAGCAAAATACGAGAGTCTCTATGTTATTTGCCAAAAAAATCTGTTGTGTACCCATACTTAGTCATGATGCGCCTACATATGGATCATCACCATATTTGGGCATGTCACATGTTTTTTTTTATTTTTTAAATAAGATGTGATAGTCTGTGGACGGGGCTTTAAGACATACTCAAGCACGTGCGTTTGTGAGACAACACGTGCGTTTGTGAGAAAAAAAATGTGCGTTTGTGAGACAACACGTGCGTTTTTGAGACAACACGTGCGTTTGTGAGACAACACATGTGCTTGTGAGACAACACGTGTGCTTGTTAGACAACACGTGCGTTTGTGAGACAACACGTGCGTTTGTGACACACAACACGTGCGTTTGTGAGGCAAAACGTGTGTTAGTGAGACAACACGTGCGTTTGTGAGACAACACGTGTGCTTGTTAGACAAACGCTTATTCCTGACCCTGTTTTGGTTGGTCAGTTGTTACGTTTGATTGACACTTCGGAAAGGCCATGGCCTAACTTTAAATCGTCCTTCTATTAATCATTCTGCATACTCCCAGCAAACACAAAACGTTCTTATAACGTTCGCGAACGTTGTGGTTAGGTATGTCACAAAATAACGTTATCACAACGTTGTAAGAACGTTCAAACACTGTGACGTTCTGAAATTAGGTTATAAGTGCGTACATATGGTTCTACAAAATAACGTTCTTATCACCAATCTGTAAAAATACTATAACGTTATTATTACGTGATATTGTTAGCTGGGCTGTAAGTCTTTCCTACGGCCTCTCAGCTCCTCTTTTTCGACGGTGTAGACCTACATTTCGGTGCTGTGGTGATGCTGAATATTTTCTCGTTCGTAGTAGGACTACCTGAATGAACCGCAATGAAGAGTGCTGGAATTTGGGGATAAGCGAACTCGATGGGTTATTTTATATCTGTGTCCTTAAGCGGACTTCCCCCTTTCTTGCGTCTTACTATAAGCTCTCTCGAATGCCAATAGTTCACCATCTAATGGAGTACGCTCGTAGATTTGCGTTTCTTCTATTGGATAGCTTAAATTTAAGCCAAGAACACGCCGTTTAGGAGACGAACTAAAATCCTAACGACTTCATATGACAAGTTATGTATTATACGTCCCTCGGTTGGTCCCTAATGACACGTTACTAGGAATAAAATTAAATCCAGTTATCCTATGAATGTCTCTGTTTTCGTTAGGGGCCGCGCAGATATTGTCTTTTAGATTTGCCTAATTAGAACGACGTACCAGGATATGGATATCGACGCATAAACTGCCACGTTTGTTTGTGTAATAACAAAACACGCAGCAAGATTTAGTTAATAGACGTCTTGCAAACAATTGTTAATTTACCAATTTAGTTGTGGTTTAGTTTATTCATAGTGCATTGTGCTACAATCAGAACAAGAAAATGCTATTAAACACTAGCATTAAAAATGATTTGTCCATATGTCCATATGAATGCCATCGTTGAGAGGCGCTACGTGTCTGGGAGAGGCTGAATTCTCTGTTTCGTCTTTTGACGGAATGGACCTTTTCGCTAAGTCGCATCGCTTATTAGATATTGTTGCCGAGTTCTCACAGAATGACGGTGTATACGTTCTTAAACGCCTGTGTTTTTGAGACAACCGTGTGTTTTTAGACCTGCCCTGATTGGTCAGTTGTTCAATTTAGTTGACACTCCGAAAAGTCCATTTGCCGTCATATTCTCACATTGAACACTCTTTATTTCATTTCTCTCACATTTGATTGTGAGGTTGCATAGCGGCAAATTGCCTTTAGGATAATTAACCCGCCAAAATCTCCTTTCAATCTAAACATATCGACCACAGCTGCGACTGTTGTTGAGTCGGAACAGGGAGATGTAGGCCTAAGTTCAGCAGAAGAAATGGCCTTCTCATTCATAAGCTTGTCGGTCCTAAATTTGCATTTACTCGATATGTTAAATCTCTCATATTAAAAACAAACAAAATAATGGATCAGTGGAAATAGTTATCATTCTAGGCTATCCTAGAAAATATTGCTAAGAGACTAGACAATCTTAATTTATTCACCTTGTATGTGCAATCTGTGCTAACTCTCTACTTCTAAAGACTCGTAGATTTAATTATAATAACTTCACTTCGCAAAGCTGAATTTACGTTAGATTGTGAGTTGTCTACGCATCTGGTCTACGGTATGAAGCGGTTGGCGCAAGTCCGCTCGTCGTGGATATCGCTGCGCGTATTAAACTACAGGGTAGTGGACCTTCACCCTTATGGAATCATAAAATCTGTGGCCTTTAAATTATATAAGATAATGAAAGATTCTATACATCCTCTACACAATGCTTAAAATTATAACAGATCAGGCATCAGAATTCTGACTCAAAGAACATCACTTTGTGGATAAAACTCATTTGTGCGATATAGGCTATCCATCTTCTTAAATTCATGCGCGACTAGGTTTTAATTATAACGAAATTTTTAAATGTTTTAACAGAGTTTAAACAGATCTTGAAAAATCTTGCTCTATTCTAAAGTTTGTTCAAGTCTTTATACTCTTTTTATTGTCTGATGTGTATTTTTAAGGCTGTACGTGTTATGTGGTGTTTATGTAAATTTCTTTTATAACGTTTAAATCTTGTTGAGTAATCCAATTTTCTGTTTGTATTTTATGTATATCAGACAATAGAGTTTCTAGAATCTTGAATCATGGAAACGTCTTGGTACCCCTATTAAGTCCGATTATTCAAGCCATCTTTTCAGCCCATCTATATTTGAATTGTTGGGCCTTGATCTGTCTTTTTTGTCCTCATCTTGGCCTTAGATTCATGCGTTCTGATTACATGTCCGAAGAAATCAAGTTTACTGTATCGGATGCAATTGTTCATATACATACTGTACCGTAATCTTCCTATTCGTAATTAATGACCCCACTCTCCTCGAAATGATGTTAACAGTCGTCTGTAGCATTGCATCTCTTATTCACTTACTTTTTGCTCATAATTTACAACCGTACAGAACGGTAGCAAATTCAATTGCTTAAGGGAACCGAATTTTAGGTTGATGGATAGGCCATGACTAATGGTTTCTCAAAATATCGTTCATGTTAAGTTTAATGTACGGGCCATGTCTAGTCTCTGTTTATTTTGTAATGCGATGTACAAGGTACAATGATCATTGAATTTTGAAACATAATCTGTTCTAGATAATAGTATTAGCCAATCATGAATGATGTCAAAAGCTACCTACACCAAGTCCCCAAAATTACCACTCTTTTCCTCTCCACATTTCGAAGTTCCTATCTGTTCTCAAATATGTTGATTTATCAGTAGTGTACACACAACATATTAAAGCTAATTTTATTGTTTTGAAAATGACGTGTAAGTAATAATAAATTAATTATGTCATCATCAGGAATTCCTGATGATGACATAATTAATGTCGAAATATTGAATCCCAACACGATGGCGTGATAATAAATTAATGTATTTGAATTCATTACCTTAGATAAAACTAAGTACATTCTGATGTGTATACAAAACCAGCTACTCTCTGTAAGGGGAAGAATTTGACTGAATGGCCAACGACTGCAAGATAAACTTTGGAATAATGTCAATGCACTTCAATCCACACACAAAACATCTTCAGTTTAATGCTAACGTTTCATTTCTTAAGCCAAATGGCTACTTAGAGATGGAACTCTAATACGGCAGCTTTTAAGTGGCAGAGTGTTTCGCTGAATAGGCCTACGTGATTCTAGTGTAGGAGGGTCAAGTCTGTGCGGTACATCGCAGCAAACGATATCTTTAACCGATTGCCATTTTAAAATTTAAAAAAACTGTTGGTGATGACCTCAAAAACTTCAGAGAAAAATAAAATATGTGTATCGCTTACATTGAAGCTCTGGAGCTCAATATTTACGACTGTATTAAATTACACTAAAATATCTTTCTTTGTTGACAAATTAATTAGGCTTACACTAAAAAAAAACACCTTTAGTTATTTGAATATTATTAGTTATTGTATGTTTACAATATTGTATATTTAATGTGTAAATCCAACAACCAAATCGTTTTATTAAAACAAATTTGGCTAATTTTCATATTAATTTTTAATATAATTGTTATCATTATTAATACATTTAGCGGTTTACTGTGTACATATAATATTTATTGCATCAATTGTGCTGATTCGCCAATCCAAAATTTGCAATTATAAATTTAGTAAACAATGTTTCCGGATCGGAAAATTGATAATCGGAAAGTGCATGTCCAATCGTTAATACCAAGTGCTAATAAGTAAATCATGTGTGTTGAGTGAAAAATAGATTTATACCGTATGGAATGAAAAGATTTAATTTGGCCAATTTTAGTGATGGTAAGGTTAAAAGAATAATGACGGTTAAATAATTATTATTTATTTTCGATTATTATTTTCTTAGCACCCATAATGTAACTCCAAGTTAACTTTAATCCTATCAAGAATCGATTTTACATACCGTATAAAACAATTTCTGAATTTAACCTAATTATGAATGTTAATTATTACTTTAGTGAATTTTTTTGTTTACACCTTTTGGTTAGATTTCATATGGATCTCACTCGCCCCAGTTATCTGATCGCACCGCACATCCGACTCTTTACCGAACTATCCCGTCTTCTTCCGAGTTTAGCCGACCAAGAATTAAGCTTCTTCAGGCTTGGAATTGGACCAAGGTTTCTACTTTACACTCAAATCAAGACGTGTCCTCTTCGGTAGGATAAATGTATTATATTTTTAGAATGATAATATATTATTTTTATGTTTCATGTTATGTTACGCATATTACGTCACGTTGAGTTGTTACGTGCTGTGTAATGCTATGTTGTAATGTGTATTATAGGCTTCCCACCCTAGTTGCAGTTAACATCGAGTTTTATGATAAAAATACAATAAAAAAAAACAGAAAATGACAGTAAGGCTGTGATTGACTAAGTATGCGCGGGTCACATTGTATATATAATGATTGAATTTAATCTAATGGACTTGAAAACTCAATAAAACAATAACATGTCATTGCACCAGATAACTTGAGGTTGACTAGTAATGATATTGAAACTGGACCGGAAATTCACGGCATATAGAATGTATGCTACTAATTCCCTCACATACACAGGCTGTCGTGGCAGCACGTATACAAATGACAAACTACATCTCTTTGTACTAGTAAAGATTGAACAGATGAATGTTATGAAAACAAAAACATTTGGACACATTGATTGTACGTAACAAAAATGGAATGCAACACATCTCTAATTTATTGAATTTTATGGAACGCCATTGGTGCAAATAAGTAATATGGAACGCCATTGGTGCCAAAATATATTTATTTTAAATAGTTTTTACTGATTAAGACAACATTCAACGACTGGTAGCAAGACAGCGATCCTCTGATAATTTAAGCTTGTATTAACTAAGGAAATTGAAGAATGCCTCCCAACCAATAAATATTCAGTTTTCTGCCTGTAGGACAATTAGGCTTAACCTAAAGTGTAAACAGTTTTAACATACTTGGGTCAACCATGGGTCAACACACGTAATTCTCAAATTCTGAAGCGTCCTCTATCATCCGTCAAAATGATAACCGTCGGTAGATGGCGTCGAAAATGAACGGGCTCCTGTGGAGACAATCCAAAAGGTATCGTTAAACTAAACGTTTTGCCTTCTTTTTTTTTTTTTTTTTAAAGAATTCGCCCTCACTACTGTCGCATATGCTCAGATCGAATATTGGTTTATATCATCGCCATAATACCTATTTATTAAAGTGGGTGCTGTATTAAAGCTAATTACAATATCTGTTTGTTCATCCACAAGAAAGTGAATAATTGCCTAGACCTGAAAAATAACATTCAAATAATAATGAATCTTGTTTTCTCATTTTAGGCTATGCGGGACTTTACTACTCAGTTGCAGGTTTATTCAGAGAATTCAACCAACGACTTTGAAGTCATCGCCGCAGAAAGTTTTGACCACAATAATGCCAACGACCGCCTTGCACTCTTAAAGGTAAGTCTATAGTAGCGTTTCAAAGTGATATAAATTCAAATCAAATGTGTTTAATATTTTTTTGGTAGTTTAGTGCATTTTACAAAAGTGTCGAGTCCAGTATGTCCTTAACAAATTAGTGAATAAATTCATGATAGTTCATTATATTTGCATATTTATGGAGCCATCTCACATGCTTGTTGTTTCTACGCTTATATTTTAATTTATCCTCTGTTTAAGATTTGCGGCACTGTTTTCACACAGGTGTTTGATATAGCCTACACTCTTCTTATCTGTGCAGTTGTAGTGCCATGTATAGCCTACACTCTTCTTAATTGCACTGTTGTAGTGCCATGTATAGCATACAGTCTTCTTAACTGCATTGTTGTAAACAAAATAAGTATTAATTATGTAAATAGTAGGCCTAAGTTTTTCTGCTGCGTGGCAAATAGTATCGGTATTTGAATACGTCATAAATATTATTTTGTACAGTTTGTCCAGCGCGTTCCTCTAGAGAAAACGAAAGTTGATTCGTCAAAATTGCGTTTTTAAAATATTAACATTAAGTTATTATAATGTGTTCGATTCCAATGTAAAATGTACTTTCTTCAATTTCTAAAATAATTTGTAATGTTATATTCTAAACAGCGTAAAGATGCACGAATAATCATTGGAAACTTTTATGAATACGAGGCCGTCATGGTATTTTGCCAGGTGAGAAAAACATTATTTCTTATTTGTTTAATAACTTTCTGTATTTATATAGTGTCGTTTATCGTAAAATGCTATAAAAGTGCTTGCAACTTCCGTACTTCCCAAGGAGCGGAGAATTTATAGAGGGTGACCATACCAGCGTATCCTAGGAGTTCGGCTGATATTCAGAGCCCTCTTAAATAAATGAAATAATGTGATACTTTAATCAGCGAAGTTTCTTTATGAGGCTTAGGGAGTGGAGTTGTTTTAGTCGTGAGACAAAGTCCTGCTGTAATAGGAATTGAACCCAGGACCCTAGGATTAGAAGGCAAGTGCCCACTTTATTAGAACAAACTATTAACCACCCGACAACCAAGTAAAACGACATCACTTTCAACATTAAAGAGAAATATTTGAAACATATTAGATTGTTATTATTTAATATTTATTTTTTTAATATATTATTTATTTACTAAATTGTATAATTCAATAGTTTTTAGGTTATGGATGGCAGTACCTTATAGCCCCCAGACGCTGCCTGGGTAAACAACAGTTGAGTATCCGTTTTATGTTCTTATTTTCAAGTATATTTGTGTATTCAATGTAACCGTAAAGTTTGAATGATTTCAGATGACAATCAATCGCTTCTTTTGGAACCTATTATTATGTTTTTTTCAATAAAGTTTAAATATCTTTAAAAAAGCATCTTAACCACTACGCTGTTCAACCACTCCCATGTTGCACCACATTTATTCTATGAATCGAATGACCAGGGGTTAAATTGTAATGTTAGAGGCCCGTTTGAGACTCTATATATTACTATATTGGAACGTATCGCTTATTATTGTTGAAAAAGAAACGTAAATAAGGTACATTGACCAAGGACAAAAGCGTGGGATTTGAAAGCGCCCTCCCTAACTACCCGAACTCAAAGTTGAGTGCCCTTACCACCGTATCACCAACTGCTCATATGCAACATTTTTTTCAATTGTAGGCATACAAACAAGGCCTCACTGGACCCAATCACGTGTGGATGATCTATGGTTATTATCAAGTGGATTGGTGGAATAAGACGTACACAGATTTACACTACGGCTGCACTACCGAAGAGATGGCACAGGCTGTCGAGGGCTACATTGGAATTTCCTGGGATGTTCTCAGTGATATCGACAAACCCACAATCTCAAATTATGTAAATAAATATATTATAATTTAACAAGTCACATATAGATATTAATTGATTGATCAATAGATCGATGTTTAGTTGATTGGATGGTCATTTAATTGATGGGTTGGGTGATCGGTTAAATGATTGATTAATTGACTGATGGATTGAAGGAGTGATTGATTGATTGACTGACTGACTTAATACTTTATAATAAACTATTAAAATTTGTAACAAAAAGAGGTAAAACAGACAAGGAGGCTTGTTATTTGTCAAACCGTTGGGGTGGGGAAGAGAGTGAGAATGCAACAGCTGCAACAAAAATATCATGTTAGTCATGACATATCGGATACCCATGTGTTTACGTACCTTCCCATTTTGCGGCTAACCATAGTTTAAAGACATGTCATGAGTAACAGGCTAAGTTCGTTACCATGTTATGAAGGATTTTTTTAAATCGGTTGTTTGGCGTTATTCAACGGAGTTTGGGCCTGATTATTGATTGATTGATATGTAGGCCTATCATTATTTTTATTTTATTCAATAATCCGTATTGGTTGAGTTAGTTGTATAACTACTATTATTATGCTATTTATCAGACACCAGAATGGTACAGGCAAAAGATGCTGAGAAAATTTGGTGAGGATTTGGCAGAAACGGTGGTTCCGGCACCTTACGCCTATGACGCAGTGTGGGCTACAGCGTTGGCGTTCAATGCAACCGAAGCGGTCTTGGCTGAGAAGGGCCTAAGTCTTTTGAATTTTACGTACGACGATGAATTTAACATCACGGGTTTGATTCAGGAAAAACTTGAATCGGTCGATTTCCTCGGTGTATCAGTAAGTTCGTAATCACAAGTTGTCTTTGTAACTGGTACTGGTACGGGCATTTATAATGCGCCTCTTCCTTGCGGTTATAAAGCGCAGTTCCTTTCCCTGGTCATTGGGTCCACATGCTAAGTGTTGCAGACGGTGGTAATCAGCGCAGGAGCAGGCAACCCCAACAGGTACCCATTTATACTCCTGGGTGGAGAGAAGCAACGCAGATAAAGTGTCTTGCTCAAGGACACAAGCGAAATTGCAGAAAACGGTGGTTCCGGCACCTTACGCCTATGACGCACTGTGGGCTACAGCGAAATGCACAGCGAGGGATTGAAACCCCGACCTCTCGAAGTTGGGAAACCAAACCGTTCCCGCTGCGCCAAACCGCTTCTTACAAATGGGAATTTTATAAGGCTTGACGACAGAGAACATAACACTTATTTTTATGAGTTGAATTGAACAGCTTGGTAGTTAAGATTCAATAATTCAGGGTTTAAGCCTCATAAAGGGATCTATTCGATAAAGCATGATCGTTCCTGGGTTAGTGAGTAGTTTTATGTGACGAATTTGTGTGATGTGCTCAGGCATGATAATGTAATATTGCATGTTGGTTCTGACCGAATGAATGAATATGGGTATGTCACAGTTATTTGTCACGTAAAATTTGACAAAGCTCAAGTTTTATCTTGAGGTTAGTGGCGAGAGTGGATCATTAGGAATTGTGAGGCGATATAATCAAGTTACTCTATGACGCTTTCGAGTGGAGGGTTGAGACTACAGATGATCCAATTGTCTTTTATGAGGCTTGGAGAATGGAGAAGAAAATATCATTTGTTCACCATTGATGTTCTGTATATTATTGTGAAAAAAATTATGAAATATCAGATTGGACCATTTCGCTAAGCTCCTCCCCCTTGAATATTTTTGGTGACGTCACATATAAAGATAGCGTAAATGTACAATACATACATACGTTCGTTTGCGGGACAATACGTGTGTTGTGAAACATACGCGCACCTTTCTGATTGGTCAGTTGCTAAGTTTGGCACTCGAGAAAGGCCCGTTAAACTGAAGACTTTTGAAGAATATTTAACCGCGAAGTTGAATTTACTTATGTAAAAATTAATACAAGATAGATAGATAGATAGATAGATAGATAGATAGACGTTTAAATATTCATGATTTCCCTCTAATTATAACTAATCTTCTTTCTTCCATAGGGACCAATCAAATTCACAGATAATGGAGACAGTCTTGGAATTCTAAAAATATCACAATTAAAAAGTAGGTTCACTATTTTTTTTATTCTGATAGTCTAGTTAATAATATTCATACGAATTTTATATTTTTAGGTCTCTGGTCCTTTGTACTATAAATTAAGCAACATTAAAGATACTTAAAGCTAGTCAGTTTCAATAGTTGAATAACAATGACGTCGTCTCTTCTATTAGGCCTACTCCACTCGATATTTCAACCGATTAAACACCAAACTGTACATTACCCTAGTCTCTCTCCGAAGGATAGGTAAAGGGTATTGCAATAGCGCGCGCCTGTGAGTAGGCCTAGTGTGTATGCCTGTCTCTGTCTGTTTGCGGTTTGTTTGTCCTTTTGTGTGCATAACTCAAAAACAACTGGACCGATTTACTTAAGATGTTGACAATGTAACATGTATTTCGCTCCTCCTTAAATTTACTGCTGATCGAAAGTAATACGCAGATTTTAAAATGTTATTTATATATTTTCCGACGGTAACAGCCGACAGAGCCTGCTCGAACGGATTGTTCGGCCCTGTTTGGTTAGGTCGAGCGGACTTGAGCGGATCGGCAGCGGGCCAGAGTCAGAAAGGCCAGCAGACTGGAAGCGGTCGATCCCGGCCGGCGTGCAAACTCGCGCGATTGAAGGGCTTGTCACGCGAGGCCTATGCTAAAGTGGTCCGGTCGGCGTGCAATTAAATGCCATTAATTTTTCAGTATGATATGGCGCAACAGGACGGGAGTTTATAATCTCAGATTATCTTGTTACAACATTGTTAGCTGGGGATAACCACTTGAAATTAGACGCTTACCGCAACCACAACTGTAAACCCAACGCAGCTCAACTTTTCACAAGAGGGAGAATGAATTAATTAGTGAAATTCGTGACCACTCACAATTTTTGATATACCCAATGTCTGGGTCGAAATTACCCAAGATTCAGCAAAAATTGCCCAAAATTACCCAAGCTTCCAGAAAATGCATTAAAATTTGAAAAATACGTGTTTTTCGCATGTATAGTTTCCCTTTTAGCTCAATTTATAAACCAATTTTTTTATTGTAATTGTTTGTGTTAATTATTAAAATTAATATTCATGAGGTGATAATACAGATAAAAAAAATAAGCCCTCAGTCGGCCAGTGTTATCAGTAGATCAGTGATCAAGTTTTATTATGTAATGCATTAATTAGGTGAGATCAATGGCAACATAAATCACAAATAAACAATTCTTAACCCATGTTTATAGCAATTAACAGTCAATTAACAATGTTATGTGAACTTCGTTGAGTGTTGCTTACTTGAATGGACTGAAATATACTTTGTTACTTCTTAATTCTTCCTCTATGACAAAACTATTTAATTTTCTTAGTAAAAATAAAATACCCAAGGATTTAAACGGAATACCCAAGAACCCAAGACCAAGTGAAAATACCCAAGAACTTGGGTAAATACCCAAGCAGTGGTCACACTGTTCGCAACGTCTAGCGTTTTGTCAAGCCACTTGTGTTTGCGGCTGATGCACATGCGCACTACTAGTGTGAACCGTGCCTACTGTAGTCATACTTCAACGGTACACTGTTAAACTTCTTAAACGACCTATTATTATTAATGTAGGTCTATCTAATAAAAACTGTTTTACTGCAGTTTTATTGTCCATTTGTTGTGATTTACACAGGTCGTATATTTGCAATAATAATTTATAATGATAATCTACAAAAATCCAGTAAATAAAAATTTCAAATGAAAATAACTGTTAGACCTATACAGGGGTTGAGATTGAATTTTCTTGGATTCAGAATTTACCCAAAAAAAATCTATAAATTAGTTTGTGAATTTTAATAAAGAGTTCAAATAATAAAATTTATCTTCTATTACATTTTTTGACTTGTTTTCACTTACGTGGTTTTATTTTTGATTGTTGTGGTCATTTTATTAACTGTAAATTGTTAGCAGAATTTCGGCGCCACTAGTTTTTTATGTGATATACAGTATATCAGTATTGTTTGTTATTGGCTTTGTAAATTAAAACTTTGTCAATAATTGTTCTCCTAGATGGTGTACAGCGCGAAATAGCTAGATATTACGGATACAACGATTCTATAGTATGGGATTATACTGTTGAAGAAATATGGGGTATGTTTTGCTTAATATTGTATATTATTTTTAATACAATATGTTGAACATGCTGAGCTCAATTTCTACAGTATTACGATTGGCTCCGATTCAGCGTGTCCTACAGTCGAGTTCGCTGACTGTCTGTGCTTACTGCTCACGTGACTATAATATCTCAAGATTCGAGATTTTGCTAATGATTCTTAAAGATATATTGAACCAATAAACTTTAACAATAAAGCTGATTCGTGCTTGGTATATTTTAGTAAGTTACAGCAGTAAATTTCAATTTGAAAATTTCGTCATTTACTGACACTCAAATAGTACCTTCTATAAAATTAATTGCATAGACGAATTTAATCATTTTAATAGTGGAGATCTGTAAATCAGCTAAAACATATTTTTTTAAATCTATGTCCCATTGGGAGCTCGTAACTTATTTAGAATGTAAGTTTGAATTGAATGATTGAGTTTTGTTTTTTTCCCCTTTTTATGACAAAAAAAGTAATTTATTGCAAAATATATTGAATTTGACGAGTGATATGCGTCGTATAAATATTCAGAAGTGATGAAACAGTTATCTTAATACGTTTTTATTAATCATTCACTATATTATAAAAACATAGTATTTTAATGTGACAGTTTTATGATAAATATAATGAGTGGAATTTGTATACAGAAAAATACAGAGATTATACGCGCTTAAACATTTTAATATTGTTTTATTTGCAGAAAACGGAATTCCCGCGGATTCGGACCAGACGATTCGTTACACAGAAGCAATGCATATATCGAAAAAATTATTCATTTTGTATGCAGTAATGTCTAGTTTCGGGATAATGACTGCTATTGGATTTCTTCTTTTCAATATCATCTATAGAAACGAACGGTTTGTCGTATTAAATATTATTACCATTTAGATTGGATCTGTAGCTTGGTAATTAGTGCTATGTTTCCATAAAATCGCTACGCGATTGGTCAGTCGGGGACCCTATTCGACTGCGTCTGAGACAGCTACACAGTTCAACAATTTACAACGAGAACAGTGTAGTGACAGTTTATAGCAACGATTTTATGGAATCTATGTTCATGATGCTTGACTTCCAATCTCATGGTTGTGGGTTAAAATCTTATGTGACACCTGGATTTTTTTTCACAATAGTTTTTCAAAAACATTTTTATCCTGTAAAGCTATATTTCTATAAACCGCTTCACGCCATCACGCCGCCTGTGACGGGGATCCTAGTTTAGTCAGCATGGGCGGATCCAGCAGCCCCGCAAGAAAGAGTGTTGTGAATTTGCGAACTGAGTGAGAGTCTCAGGGAAGGGCTCCTGGTAGGGGTGCAATGGGATAATCTCCCTTAAATTAGATGTTTATTTGATTGATTTTTACTATTTAGCTTTATAATTTTCTTTTATACTTCACAAAAATGTTTTAATTTTTTTAAACCAAAAAATAGAGGACGTACGCCCCTTACAACCCATTTAAATGCACCACAGAGTCAGGGAGAATTCCTGAATGCGTCAGGGGGACAACCAACAGTTTAGATGCAGTGAATGCACAGCTTTATGGGGTGGCACCAGAATTTGCACAACAGGGGTCCCCACTGGCGCCACCCTTTGCTTTATGGAAACAGATGTGTGGAAAACTTTGGTAGGATTCTTGGTCAATGAATTTGACCATTAATAAAATCCCCTCTGAATAGAATGCAATTTCACTTCCTTTTCGCCTTTGAAATGATCATAATAGTCATTCTTTCACTCTTCCATTTGAGAGAACTACAGCAATCACCAATAAATATAGTGTATACGATAGGCCTTCAGGCTAAATATCAACTATTTTGAAACACCATTAAGTCTGTTCTTAACGGATTGTTAAGTAGCCTTAATTTCACTTTTAAATATTTTTAAATATTTTCTTTACTATAGATTGATTAAGATGTCAAGTCCAAATATGAACAACGTTATAATTTTTGGCTGTATACTATGCTACATTACTACGGTGGTGTACGGTTTGGATAGTCTTCATCTAAGTGACAGCAATCTGAGAATTATGTGCCAGGTACGACAGTCCGTGTCTAATGTAGTTCAAATTCAAGGTTCGATTAACAATTAGCCATCTCGTAGTTTCAGCTCCTCATAAGTATGTTGAAATTATAATAGCCAACCTGGGTGTCATGAGCATGTGTAATCTGTAGTAACAATACGCTCTTTCGTTGTCTTCAGTGAGCTTGATTTTTTAAATGTATACACAAACAATCAAGCACACTGAATCAACTGACATCGTCGGTCTTGATAATAGACTTAAAAACGCGTACTTAAAATTACAAGATAACTTAATGGTTATATAATCTATATAGGCCTAGTACAAAAATCTGTACACACATCACACTTTCTGGACCTCATTATTAAAAAGACATTCGCTGAAAATTAAATGAAAATATAATAAGACGTCTCTTTCACACATGTTGATGAGTTTACTACATGTATTAGGATTATGTAATTTACAGTCAAAGGTTTTCAATGATAAATAGTGAGCATAGGTGAAGAATCGGATTTCAGAGTCACAAGAACTCTATAGTATTAGATAACAGGATTCGTTACATGGATGAAATAGCCCATACTAATGTATTTGGTGGAAGGGGGGAGGGGGTCAGTAATAATGAGACCAGCAAGCTGTTATCTGATCCGTTTTGCATGATATGTTTAGTGATTGATTGAATAACATGTCAAGACGGATATAGGATTTTACCTTTATGCTTAATTAACGAGATGAATTTCCATAATTATGTACCTAAGAGTGTTTTTGCCTATGGCCATTATTTGAGTGCGTAATAAATATCTATGACAATGACATACGTCACTCTAGGCCATTCATATACATTTGCTTTCTTTAATTTTTTTTCAGGTTCAAAAATGGGGATTTGCGTTTGGATTTACTTTATCTTTTGGTGCAATGTTTTCAAAAACGTGGCGAGTATACAGTATATTTACTAACAAGAAATTACAGAAAAGGGTATATCTTTCTTCAACTAATAATAATCTTATGAATAGTAAATAGAACGATATAACTTTTTTATCCTTGATTCTTCTATTCGTGCAATTTAAAATATTTAAATATTACTTTTGATAATTTTTTATATCAAATCTTAAGCTCTTGTAATTAGTCATTATATCTCTGGTAATATTTTAACCAGAATTATTTTATCTTTAAATAAGTGTTTTATCATTGTATTTGTGCTAATCTGTGCAGTATGAGCGTCACTCTGTTAGTGTTCTACAATTAATATTGGAAATTCCCAGGGTTTTGTTAACTTTTCACCTAGAGCTTTCGTTTTAAAGAGACAGGTGTGTGTGTGTGTGTATCATATGTATATATGATATCTGAAATTGTGACAGTAAAGCTACACATTCGCTGCAATGTTTTCAATGCAATATTTGCACTGATATTTATCACTCTTTTTAGGTAATCAAAGACCCACGTTTACTGGCCATGGTCGGAGTTCTTTTGTTAATTGATTTGGGAATATTGTTGACGTGGCAATTGACAGATCCGTTGGAAATAACGATAAAGTCATTAAAGAACCAAGTAAGGCGATCAATGATGTCACAAGGCTTAGTGCCATATATTACTATGTAGGCATGCGATGATGTGTTCTGTGCTATGTTATAAAGATGTATAAAATAAAGGTATGACGTAGGCAGGGAGACATTGCAACGTTTTCATTGGCGCGCAGCATTGGTTTGTTTCTTGCCCTTTGAACACAGTGTAAAACAGTTTTGTGTATGATTACGCATGCGCACTACTTCAATGTGGGTTAAGTCAAATTGGTAAATTCCGATTTTTCACGTTTATGTCATGATTTGAATAGCTCTATTCTAGGGCGACAACACATCACTACTTCGAGCTGAGATATAGCTGTCTCGTGAATCGAGAGAACCATATGTGACTACGCTTGTGAAGAAATCAAACCGTACTGATCAAATAATGAAATATCAAGTCTTGGATGTAATGTCCAAAATAATATAATCAAATAACTTCATTCAAAATAATGTACTAGATAATGTCTGTACAATTGGTGATGTTTAGAATTATTGTCTGGTAATGTGAAGAAAAATGAAAATAATTATGATTGATAGAGGGTTGAACGGCGGCGTCAAATTTGATTGGTTTGGTTTTGCAAAATGATATGATAGAGATATAGGAGCTCAAACGTCACCGTTTCCTTCAGACAATAACTATAATAGTAAATGTGTTATCATTTGACAGCGTTTGACGAAAGGCTAACTCGTCTGTTCAGCGATTGATCTACCATTGTGGATTATTCTTCAAGTTCAATACTACTTATGATTATGAAACCTGTTTGTTTTGTTTTTAAGGAAGATTATTGGTAGCTCAAGAACGGCGGGCCTACGTGGTTAGCTATTACGACCTAGTAATATGTGATTCCTGTATTGGACGAATATTGTTTTCATCTAGGCCTACTTGGTACCTAATGAGAATTATTTTTTGTTCTTTTCAGACTAAAGAAGGGAAGCCACTGACAATCGTAAACATTGAACAACATCTTTGCCAGTCAACTTACCAGCAGTATTTCACTGGCGCACTCTATATCTACAAAGGGTTATTGCTCATATTTGGCGCTTTTATTACGTGGCAAACAAGGTAGATAAACAAATTATATTGAAATAATCTTAAAGGCTGCTGTTTTAAGATTTTTAGAAAGTTTATATCATTTTACAATCATGATTTAAAGGTTACTTAAGTGCAACTAATGGTATACCTCGGTCTATTGGTGAGCACATTTTAACCACTTTATATTCTCCTCCGTCTGCATCACACGTCTGGTTGGGCTGTGCACTACATAGCAACATAAGCCTGGTTTTCATAAAATTGCTACACAGAGGCTTCAGCGTTTTTCCTGCGTAGCTGTTCCCAACACAATCGGAACGCTCCCTGATCCCACTGACCAATCGACGTCGCCAAAGTCGTCGGCGATAGCGTGTGCCGATTCTCATGGAAACCGGGCTTTATGTAGAAACATTCATTAATGCGTACCAGTTCCTGTCGTTATCGAAATACGCATTGCTTATTTTAAATGATATTATACAGCAACAAGTGGATATGTGACGATATAATTATCTATTTATGAACATTCATGCATATTCATATTATATTGATGTGTTTTATTATAGTTTGATATTTGACATTTTTAGATAATTAAATTTACTTATTTTCCACAGAAATGTGAATATTCCTGCCCTCAATGATAGCAAGTATATAGGACTAAGCATATACAATGTCGTCATCTTCAGTTCTCTTGGCGTACCATTATCTTTCTTGCTTCAAGATGACGCAAGTCACACATACGTCATAATTGGAGGTTTTATCATCTTCTGTACAACGTTAACTCTCAGTCTTCTATTTTTTCCAAAGGTAAGTTAAGTCGTGTCTAGACTATCACATTTCATATAAAGATAAACATATGACATGCCTAAATATGGTCATGATCACATCATGACCATATATAGGCACATCATGGCTATATAATGGGCACACAATATTTTTAGCCTGGTTCTCACGAGAGCCCTAGTATCCGGATCGGGAGCTAACCGTTAGCACCTGCGTGCGAACGCCCGATCGGTTAGCGCTAACCGTTATCAATACCGCTAACGGTTAGCAAGCGCTATCGGTTAGCAAGTTGAGCGCATTTTTACCATCAACCAATCACACGTACGCGTTTACAATTTCCAGTTTCTTATTGGCCAGTGATTCGATCATCATATTTTTGGTATTCGGATCGGGATTTTCTCGTAAGGACGCACGGCAGCTAACGGTTAGCAGGATCCGGATCCTGCTAACCGTTAGCAGCCGTGTGAGAACATAGCCTTTGTCAAATAAAATATGATAGTGTGGACAGGACTTTAAATTAACATTTCTGAATTTTGTCAATTTAACATCAATTTTCAATTCATTAACTATTTTGTTTTCGTTCACTTTCGTTTGTCATTAATTTTTTTCATTATTTTTGTTTTTGTTGTTTCGACATCCAAAGCGTACTCAAGTCAAATAGTCGTAGCATATTTAATTTTTCATATGTATGAAGTACAGTAACAGTTATTTTACTGTATTTTTTTTTATTGTTTATTCATTTTCTAGTATTAGTTTATATGTTTTCATTGATTGTGTTGCTTTTAATCTGTGCTATATACATATTTATTTATATGTAGGTCATTATCAAAGGCATTAAAGTAGAGTGTAATGCAATAGTTGATTGCGATATAAATAAAATGAATAAAAAAATAAAAATCAATGTCCATGCAGGTGTACAGTATCATTAATGGTTACGCCCCTGAGCAAGTTGGAAGCCGTGCCATGTCAAACGTCAACGGGCGGCAAGGGTATGGAAGGCGTACGGAAGACAGCAACCGGAGAGTTAGCCTACTTGCAAAAGATGCGTCAATGGCAATGAAGATAGAAAACGAAAAAACTTCTGAGGTTCAAATATGATTTATATTTTTTATTCAATCATTAAACGAAAAACTAACTTTGAACTAAATTTATTTGCTCGACGGAACTCTCATAATATTGTGACTGCAAATAAACATGTATTATAATAAGTTCGATTTTTACAAATGGATAATTTTTAACGCCGTTAACACATCCTACTAATGTCAAGAGTTATCAGTCTGCTTATTTAGCTAGCAAAATGCTAATGATAAACAAAGAGACTCAAATTCTATGTCATGTAGTATTATACTCAATTTTAGATTTACATGCTGTGGAGAAAAACACTATATAACATACAATCGTAGTAAAGATAACCTCACGCATTGAACTGACTTCCAACCACAAAGTAATATTGGGTTTTTATAATATCGATACGTCACGCCCTTCACATTCACTCAAAACAAATGTCACGTGTTAACTATATGACGCTAACAATGGAAAGTCTTACTTTAAAATATTTTCTAAAATAAAATTACGTTGGTGGATGCTAACACATGACATTTACGATAACCGCATATTGCTTTTTACAAGATGTATATTTGTAAATAAGACGTCTGGTAGTTGCATCTGCGCATGCCATCGAATATTACGGTACTAGTGTATATAAATAAACAATCAATACTATCGTCCTTCTTTTAATAACGCGTAGCCGAATTCTCTAACCAATCTTCAAATCTTCTATAATAATGTAATAACACTATAAAAATGTCTTCGTTTATATACACTGACCTTTGACATACGTAAATGAAACTACAAGATATAATACAATAAAACTAAAAAAGCACACAAAACAGTTTGTATGCCTTAAAATATGTATATATTATTAAACCTTGTAATAACGATAATTTAATGTTAAATATTTTGTATATAATCTCAGATGTTAGGCCTATTCAATTTTCGTTACACACTGATCTGTCACTTAATAAAAAATCCGATTTTCTGAAATGTTTGGATAAAATTATTCTAGTTTTATATTGAATAATGATTACATATCATCGGTAGTCGCATTCGATATGTTTGCAATTAAACGAACGTATACATAATAAGTTGAATAAGATATACATGAAACAAAATCAGACGGTCTACAAATATGATTTCGATTAAATTTGTTTTTGTTCTTTTAGAATTGTTAATGTAAATAAGAACACTTTAAAGTAATTCGCCTTTTTTTGGTTAAGATAATGTTATGTTTCAACAATTTTACATGATTGTTATATATGCTTGTAGGAACATAGACCTACCACTAAACCGTACTACAATGTCTTGCCTGTATGTTGTCTGTTGTCTTGCCAAATGAATTATTATCTCAGACCGTTTAAATGTTTTCTTATTAGAAAATGATTTGTGAATAATAATGTTGTGTTTATAGCAAAGGATTGATTTTGATGTCTGACTTACCATGTATATATTTGCCAATGCAACTATGTTTAATAGTATATAACGTTGTCAGTGTAGCTGCATATGCAAGTATATAAAGAAGTATATAGATGGGTCCTCATACGCTAGGCCCTGTCTCTTATACACATCTAGATGTGTATAAGAGACAGAGGCATGTACTTATATATAAAGAAAATATATAAAAAAAAATATTGCTAGCTGAAATCTAGCCTTTTATTTTTAGTTATACAGTAGTGAACAATAAATCAATATTTGGATGTAAAATATAGGTTGTGCTATGTGAAAACTGTGACGTCAGACAAGTTAAAAAGAATGAAGGGATTCAGACTATACGAGCGCTTAGATTCACCACAAGCCTGCATGGCCAAGTGGTTATAGCGTTCTTCATGCAATGTAGTATATAAACAAATGAATAACTGACAGAAACAATACTCCGTAATTATTATCATAACTGTTATTATCACTATTTTCGAGTACAGCTGTTACTATCATTTAACTATTTGATTATCTGTATATGCTGTCTCTTATACACATCTAGATGTGTATAAGAGACAGGCTATATAATTATATATATATATATATATTAAAAAAGTAACTTCAGGATATAGTCGTTATTTAAATGATCGATCGATTTAAGATAAGTACATAAACGGCTTGACTTTTATACTTTGAATTTATCGACGTAAATCACTGCTCGTTTCAATCACGGGCACAATCAAAAAGCCCAGATGTCAAATTAAATACTGCTAATGTTATTGTTTCTTATAACTCTATACTACGGATAGGATATTGTATTAATATTAAATATGTGAAATGTATTATAAATAAATAATTGATTAGTTACGTAGTCTTAATCTGAACATATTGTTCAATCATTTTTGAGTAGCCCGAATATGTGACGAATGTAAGTGTGTTAGAATTCAATGAATTTGGATGAATGGCCAGTGATTTACAAATATCTATTTTATCATACAATATTGTAAAGTGGTATTTACCATGAAATTTCACCGAGTTGTACACAGTGAGGTTATTGGTTTAGTGACAAATGTTTATTATGATGTGTTCAATATTTCATTTATTACTCCATTGGAAGCGGTAAAGCACATGTTTTTTTCTTTCTCTATTAGAACACATCGAACGGTTTAGAGACTCACCGCTTAGACAATCTTTGAAATGTAGACTGGATAATTTATTGTGTATTTCTGACAGATCTCTTGTGATGCTCCGTTAACTCAGGTGTTAAGTCGCTCAGCTTGCGACTCATTTTGTGCATATATAACATCACAAATGAGTCACAAATTGTGTGAGTCATCACCAAAGTCGACATACCTCTAGATGCACATTGCAGGATGTGCGCCGCCTCTTGCTTAGTGGACCCGGCGGCAACCCGGCGTTCTATTGAAATTCACCGCGGCAGGCAATTCCCGAAATATCATCATACCTTGTCAATGTCTTTATTCATTTCAAATTCTCATGAGCTTGTTTTCTTATCGTTCTATACTTAGGCCTATATACATTTCATTAAGTTTTTCATCCGGTTCTTCGAAAATTACAATCATATTTACAATAATTGAACACGGCCGTAGGCCCATGTATCGCAAAATGATGTATACCATTTCGGAACAGAAAGGTAGGCCTAATTATAGCCTAACTAGGTAGACCTAATTATACCAAAATGTGTTATTCTCTTTTTTAAACAAAATAATGAAAACTCAGTGCTGCATCCACAACTAACATCAACAATCGAAGTATAAACAGCGTCCTCTTATGTCATTAATCAGTGCCCTTAATATTCTAGCTAGTTTTAATAGTAAGGTGAAACAACGCATTTATTATTATCATTAGTGAACAGCGGCCTCTATATCTTCTAAAACTAAAAGCCCCTTCATCGTTTTCATCCTCATTGCAATTGCGCTCATCATTTTGTTTAATACTGACTCAGATAACAGCATTTTGTAATTTTGTACAGCTTTCCTCTAGAAGCCTCTTTCATGTCACCGATACAACCATTAGAATTGTAGTTACTGGAGCATCAATATGTTCTGTTATCTATAGATTTAGGCTTAATTGTTTTTTTGGTTTTTTTTTCTTTCGCCCTGATAAAATAATTTTAAATATTATCTATGTTAAACAAAAATTAATAAGAAAAGGTAAAGAGCTCTTCACAGACTTAGCCTGGGTTCCAGGCCCTAAATTTGGGTTACTCATTATTTTGAATTTTACTTGCGCCATGCATTTTTTTAATTGGCGTCCCATATTCGATTTCTTTTTTTTTTATCGGATTACTGTTACTGTACTTAGATGCCGTCTTCAAATAAGTTAATCGTTGGTGGCGTTGTCCAGAATGAGAACAAAATAATTTCATGGGACTGTATTTACAGGCCAACACACTTTAATCAAAGAGCTTTCATTCACGCTGTGACCTTCAGGATAGACTTGGTGAGATTTTTTTTTATACTTAGTCGATAACGATAATTGATAACGATAGATTATTTTTTTTGTGTGTGTGTTAGCGTTTACCCGCTGCTCAGTGGCTACTGAGCTTATGCCACTATTTGTATTGTGTGGAATATATATCTCGGAAAAACATTATAATTGTGACTATAGTCACAGTCGTGATAAATCTATTAATAACTTTAATGGACAGTGTGCTTAATTCTCTTTTACATATTGTCTTCCGTTGTCATATTTTTCCTATCCTAAATTGATATATGATTTTTATCCTAATCTACCAATGTTGTGTGACTAATATATATTTTATTTCTTTTATCATTATTGAATTCAATTATATATAATTTCATGGAATAAGACAGTAATTATGTTGTAGGCCTAAATGTTTCTACTATATCCCCTTGATGACAGAAGCCTTTCATTGCAGTTAAAGTATTCCAGTAATGGATCCTATTCGATTTCTATGCGCTTGGTTCACACACGTGTGGCAATTGCAGTAGACGCTAACCCCGCGCGTATACTAATTTGTTCCAGTGTAAACTATGCTTTAAGTCTTATTACTAAAGTTTGTCTTATTTTCTTTAAAAAAAAAAACAAACAAAAACAAAAAAACAGCTACATTCAATATCACAGTAAAGGTTGGTTCACATTAGATCAATTTCGAAGCGCGGCTTACAAGTATTGAAACTACGCCTATGCTAGTTATTGCAGTCTATTTATGTGTAGGCCTACCCATTAACGTGAGCTCCTGTGCGCATACAGTCCCAACGAGATTAAATTACCGCGTTTTTAAGCGGGAACCCGCTTGGCATTGCGTCTAATCCGTGAACCAATCCTTTGCGTGCTAGTTTAAGATACTTCATGCCCATGGTATTATAAAATGTACGTATGAATCTGTAATTGTAATATATTTGACTTTTTTGTACCGTATATTGTTTGTTGGAAAATAGTTTGTAAATTTATGCATATGAAATTAGAAATAAAGACTATCTATTATTGGCCTATGTGCCTTTAATTGAGTATTATCTATCCTAATTGAGAAGTTTTTATTATACGGCAAATGCACAACAAGTCAAAGCGCCGTTAAAATAACTATTTATGAAGCGAAACGCCATGAAGCATTAAGTGGTTAAGTTTGGTTCACACTTACAGTAAGTAATTTAGACCCGTTTACACAAACCAACAAACGCATCGCTAAACCTTAGATATCAATCAAAAGTAAGCCCCGCCCCTTAGATATTTTAATCAATCTATCAATCAATTTATTTGAAAATTACACCTTTACATCGGTGGCACACACAGAAGTGGTGCATCCATAAAAATATACAGTACCGGTAAGTCTTAAACTAATAATAGAGGTCTTCATGAACTACAGTATATACATTTGAACACAACTGTTGGTCATAGACTAAATACACTGAATAGGCCTATGTTTCACTCAAACTGCATAATTTAGTTATTAAGCAAGGCTACCGATATATATAGTATTCGTTTCCTATATTCTTGTATAAAGACATGTACAAACATGGCATTTGTTTCCTATATACTTGTATTCTCGCGTACAGAAACACACGCGGAACCTCACAATGTCGTATAATACATACATACATACATACATATATATGATATACAATACATATAAATATATACAGTATATATATATACACCTATATATATAAATCATCAAAGAAAGGTTAAGACAGTGTTAAATTACATAATAATACATCGTGTAGCATAACTCTCAACGAATTTGATGATTTATATAGGCCTATAATTTAACAGTGTTAACGGCTATCTTGATTTATATTCAAATGCATAAAAATGAAAAATGAAGTATAAATACATGTGTAAACATTGTATTTGTTATAAAGGAGATAATAATACATCGTGTAGCCTAGCTCTCAACGAATTTGATGATTTATATATAATTTAACAGTGCTGATTTATATTATATATATATATACATTATATATATAATTATATTATATATATGTATATACAGGTATATATATATATGTATATACATACATACACATACATACATATAGGCCTACATACTGTTCTGGTGGATCAGTTGTTAAGTTTGATTGACACTTTGAAAATTTGGAAAGGTCCCTTACGCCAAAAACTTCGGATTCGGTGGGAAATGCACGTAGTGGCTAAACCATGTCCTAATAAGTTGTTACATTTGCTTGGCTACCCGGTCGTGCATTTTCAACGGCAATTTCGAAGACGAACTCCCGTAAAGCCTCTTGTTTTTGGAATCGAATGCGTTGGAGTATTTTTTGGCCTATAATACAGAAAATATATTCCAAAGTAAATCTTTTAAAATATAATATTACGCCGCATAAATATTTCAAAATGCCTTGCTGAGTTCAATTAGAGAGGTTGGTTGGTTGCGTTTGAGATTGTTTTCAGTCATTTACACGAGATCAAAGAAAGTCGACCTATTTTGTATCATTAATGAACGTTTACTTTCAGATACCGATAACGACGTTCATCAGTTGATGTGTAAAATGCTTTGAAAGACACAATTTGTAGTCACCGCTAAGACATCGCCCACACTTATGACGCTATTCATCTAAACAGAACCAGGTCGTCTACCTTGTAAATAGTGTAACCACAAATTAA